AGGTAAGAAGAAAACCAGCTAAGGGCAGTCCCGGATAATCCAAAAGACACTTCCAATCGCTTCAATAAAATGTACATGCCATACAGAGGAATTTTTTAATTTTTAAAATATTTTTTGGGGATGGGATGTCCTGAAGGTTTGTTTCGTTGGTTTTTTTTTAATGGGAAGAGGGATGTTTTACTTTGTGGCTGTTCCTAGGTGCAGTTGGGGTGGGGTATGTTGTTTTTCACTGTACTTCTAGCTGTGCTGTGCAGGACAGTCTCTGCCTTCAAAGTAACATTCTATGGCTAGTAGAGTGCTATTTTTATTTTCCAAGAGAGCCAAAACTAGCTGTACCTTTTTGGATTATTGAAATGAATCCCTGTAATTTGTTCCTGGGAGGATAAGTGACTCTTACTTACTTCCTTACTACCCGTTACGCCACCTGGCGTTTAGGGCAGCAACAAAGGATTCTTTGCCCAGTGTGGAACTTTTTCTGCCCTGGACTGTGTGGAATCACAGCTTTATTGTTGTGATACACTTGTAAGCAAATGTGAATTTTGTTTTTATCTTGATCTTTTCCTGGCCACATTTCTATGCATTCTCTTGATTTCAGCTTGCGTTTCTTTCCCTGATAAGATTCAATGAAGGGAAAAACTTCCATTTTCCAAGGAAAATCATGATAAAATATATGAGGCAGCGTGGTGAAATCAGGCGCTCGTCAAAATAATGAAATCGAAGAAATGGGCTTTTTTTTTTTACCTATTTTGGCCATATTTTTTTTAACCTATTTTGGCCATATTTTTTTTCTTTCGAATTTTTGTTTTTTGGCTCAACACCTTTTATGTCCATATGTAAAAACACATTTTTGTGTGAATTGTGCAGAAAAATATTGATTAACCCTTTCCGTACGTCATGTTTTACCATCATATCCATCCATACGTCATGGGGAACTCTGTGCCTCCACTTTCCGAAGAGGAAATTTACTCGTTAATCCGATCCGTATGCTTTGCATAGCAGTCTGTCAAAATGATTTTTTGAGAAATACTGAAAGTTTCAAAGAGATCTTTGTACTAGAAGTATTCTAAAATGTGAAGAATACAACCCGTGGGGGGGGGGGGGGTACAAAATGACCCTAGGGCGTACGGTTAGGGTTAAAGGCACAGAATATGTAATTTTTCAGTTTTCAAAGACTCTCAAGTTATTGAAGTTACCAGACTTTGGTGGCCATGTTCTTGCTTTTTACCACTGAAACCAGGCGACCCCTTCTCCTTCAATCGCAAATATTTCGACTTCTATTCAAGATAGATGGGTGTTATTTTTATTGAAAGCAAGGGAGGCGAATGAATAAGCTTTCAGATGATACCAATAGCTCTACATGCCCAAAAATTGCAAGTGTCTGATTCCACCGCGACGTGACACATATAGATTTTAAAGCTGAATTTTCCTACATGAAAATAGTGTTTCCTCATGTCACGATAAGGGTATCAAGTAACTAAGACTGAGGGTATTGTATGATATACTCTTGAATTGCTGCGAAAGTCATTCTTACTAAAAAGAAATGGTGGTGGGGGAGAGGGTGATCTGTTTGGGGTTTTTTTAATGCAGAGGGTTAACGTTTTTAACGTCTTACTAACAGCATTGTATAATATACACATATTCTCTCAGAATAACCACACTCTGCTTTATGGATTCATTTTGTTTAAAGATTTTTTGGGAAATATGTCAATGTGATGACATTTTTTAGTAACAGAGGAAGTACTGTACCTTTTTTTTTTTTGTGGGGACTAACTTGGGTAAAAATTTGAGATCACGTCATTGTTTTATATTGAACCTCTATTTTTTGCCGAAACACATTGTCTTTGTTAACATGAGCTAACAAATTGGTTTTAATTTCAAATTGTATGCTGTTTTATTAATAAATTATGGAACATGTTGGAATGTTCATTAGATTTTTGTTCTTTTTTTTATGTATTGCAGCATACAAGTGGAGCTGATCTGAGCTTGCTTCTTTTAGATGTTCTGAATAATGCAAAATCACCAGTATCAGATGATACAATAGGTAACATTGTGTTATAATTACTTTTGTATTTTTAATATGTTTTGGAGTTTAAATTAATTTGAGTCTTAACTCACTGGAGACTGGGCCTTTTTCGGGTCTACATGCAATGAAAACTGGCATTTTTAAGGGTATTTCAACATTTCAAACAACACCCTTCCCAAAGACATACAACCACCATTTTTACACACATAACAGATCTAAACATGCCCAATATGACCCAAAAAACCCCAGAAAGGCAACATCTTTTATAGGGTTTTTTTTAGAAATGATTTTTTGAAAATGTGCTAAAATTTGTTGCTCGCCAAAAAAATGTTTACGTAATATCTTGTGTTAAAAAAAACCCAACTAAACCCCCAAAAAATTAACCTTGTGTGTGTCTTTTATTGTTTTGTGTTTCAAAATGAATGAAAGTCCAAACTCATGAACAGGCAGGTAATCAATATGGTAATCCTTATATATTAGCTATTTTCAGTGTGAAAAAAACAGGGCTCAAAACAAAGCGGAATTTTGTATTTGAAACCTTAGTCTAGATAGAACACTCTCTATCAGAATCAGTGCTTTGGTGCTCATTTACATTGAAATCAGGATCCCCACGGTGTAAAATATCTTAATTAGATTTTCTGAACTGTCAAAGTCGTCAAACACTTGAAAATGTTTGCTTTTTCGTGCTGCCAAGTGGGTGGTTGGCAGGTGCTCTGGTGTGGTTTGCTTTTTCTTTCCTATCAAGCAACTCTTGTCCTGGTCTCTCCTCCTTCTTTTTTGTGTTTGTTACTCTCTTGTAACACCTAATCTTCGGCACTTATATTTAAGTTATATAATCTTATTGTGTTGCAAGTGCCGTTAAACTCTTACTAAAACTAACGTGCTGCCATCGTACTAACAAAGTGTTGCGAGAACAGACATGTCAGAGAAATGAAAGTAGGGCCTCAGTGTGACTAACTTTCCTTCCGGTTCGAAAGCTCAAAAAGTTTCCAGCCAATTCCAGTGAAACTTTGCTCGAAACGAAACAAAGGTCGGCTGCACGGTAAGAGATGGTTCATGCAGCTTTTGTGCGCATACTTTACCGAGAAGAAAAAGTGAAACTTGTGCTCGCAGGGGGTGGATGAACTGCCTCTTGTGTTAGGTGTCGTAAACTATGGATGTGGGACATTTCGATAGTTTACACTTAAAACACCCTCAGGACTTTTAAGAAGTGGCAAACCCTGAGTCTTTTGTCAATTTGAACTGAACAGAAGGAGGTCTTTAGTTTGACCTCTTCTCTGATTGTTTGCCAAGTTTGAAGAGTCTACATGTCATCTTCATATCAAAATCGAAGCTGAAAGAGGGTACCCCCCCTTGTAAATCAGTATCAGTCCGTAGCCTATACACACAATAGCACTGCACACAGGGCCCCATTCGCGACACGCGGTAATAGTCGGGATCGGCTTTACTAGTAAACTCATTCCTCTTTTTGTATTTTGAATATTGGAAAGGGAAGGGAGAGGATATCATTTCAAGTTGATTCTATATGAATGACTTTGAATTGAAAAAAAAAATGGCCTTCAGGAAAACTACACATTTTACTTTTTTTTTGCAAACTCACAACCTAGAAATTTTTTAGATTAACATGGTAATGCCTACAACTGTATATTACATCTCTCTCTCTCTCTCTCTCTCTCCTTCTCTCTCTCTCTCTCTCTCTCTCTCTCTCTCTCTCTCTCTCTCTCTCTCTCTCTCTCTCTCTGTCTCCCTCTCCCTCTCCCTCTCCCTCTCCCTCTCTCTCTCTCTCTCTCCCTCTCTCTCTCTCTCTCTCTGTCTCTCTCTCTCTCTGTTGATTTTGTTGTATTTGCTTGTAAAAATGTAATTTGATCTCTTTGAGGAAAAGAAGTACATGTACATGATTAGAATGTTGATTTTGACTTCGTTTTGGTATCCTCTATACTTCCTAAATTTTCCTCATCTGTATACGGATACATAATGGTATTGACGTTAAGGGTTCAAGTATTTGAATTGTTTCGCAGCTCGAGTTACAGGCCTGTTCGAAAAAATGGATCCAGAATGTCCGGAGAGATACCCATATCTGACCAAAGCCATCAACTGGTCTCGTAAAGTGGATAAGGATCACAGTAAAAGAGGGCATCCTGATCTTCATCAACGGTTTGGTGTTATATTCTGGCATGGTGTGTACCCCCACTTCTTTTTTGGTCACTTTTATCATGTATGAAGAACCAATTTGAAAATGATTAGTTATTCAATTTATTGATAATGTCTTCAAATTGCTGGTCTGCTGTAATTTTTAGTTTTGTTAAACACTTCTTTTTTTTTTTCTTTACATTTGGCATACATTTGTTGGTAAGGAGAAAATGCTTGTGGGAACAAATTAATAAATCTTGATTACTAATGTATTTCAGTAAAACAAATTTTAAATCTTCAAAATGTCCGGTATTAAAGTGGATTCAGTGCTGCCTGAAGTCTCGTTTGACCTAATGAAAGTGTGGAGTATATTTGTAAAAAAGTACTTGTCAAAGTCAATGCAATGTTTTAGCTGCAGTACAGTAATGCTTAAGCTGAGCACTTACTTACTTTTCCTTTTAACTTTTTCATCCTCTGTTGCCCTTAAACGTCGAGGGGAGTTCTATGGTAGGCCAGCTCCGCAGCTTTTTTATTTGTGATATTATGTTTTCTCAGGTTTTGTTTGACACCCTTGATCCACCTTTTGCGTGGCTTTCCTCTTCCTTTATAGCCTGAGTGCTTGGTGTTTGGAGGCTCTTAAGGCTGGCTGGTCAGGTGACATGCATAACAGGTGTAACCATTTTATCCTCTATCTTTCTATGTAACGCAGGCAGGACTCAGTGCCGATAGCTGCTCTTCCTTCTTCATTTCGCTGCCTGTCTCGTCTTGTGATGTTGAGGGTTTTACTGAGACATTTCATTTCGCCTTCGGTGATTTTGCTTTCAAGGGTTTTGCTTCAAGTCCAGGTCTGGCACTGATAACATAATGTTGGTATGAATATTGAAGTGATGAGGTGTCTCTTTGTGTCCATGGAGATGTTTGAATGTGCGAGCAGATAGGTGACAGCGTTGGCTTTTTGAGTTCGCATTTCTATTTCTCTGTCTATGGACCCGTTTTCAGAAAAAGTGCTACCAAGATATTTTAAACTCCTTCGCCTGTTTCAGTTGTTTACTATTGACATGGATGTTCAGGGGACTATGGTTTCAGCTCTCTTTCATAACTTCTGTTTTTGGTGTGCTTATTTTCATGTTGAATTTCTCACAGCTGTTGTTGAGTTCGGTAGTGTGATTTTGGAGGCTTTGTTGGTCATGATGAATAAGACATTGGTCGTCAGCTTATTGTACCCCTTGGTAATGTCATCTTCATCAATTGCCTTCTTGATGTCTTGTTCTTTCAATTTTCTGTGGTTGGTCGTGATTTTTCCCCTGTTCTTCTTTGTTTGCCTTACATTGCTGATTGTGAGAGTAAGTATCACAGGTCTGTGGTCCGTGTTGATGGTGTAGTTTGGAACAGCTCTCGAATCCTTGGCTGTATGTCTTTGTTTTCTGCGCATCAGGATGAAATCAGTTTGTGATACATGGTTCAGGTCATTCCATTTGTACCAGGTCTTGATTTGGCTTAGTCTATGTTTGAAAAATGTGTTCGTAATCACCATGTCGAGCACTTACTGATGGTAAATTAGGTTTTTAAAATCCATTTTTCATTGTGAAATGTTTAATAGTAACTTTGTCGTTTAATTGTTTGGAAAATTGTACAAATGAAACCTATAATTTTTGTCTTCAGAAATGAATTAAAAAAATTATTTTTGGTAAGTTTTGATGGGAGTAGTACCATCAGCACAGGTGTCAACACGGAAATTACAAATCAACTTTGAAAGCAGGTTGTTGGTCTTGAAATCCAGTACTGAAATCTAATCACTCAATTTTTTTAGGATACTCCAAGAAAGATGTCTGTCTTTGTATAAGACAGCTCTGGGTGTAACAATAAACTTTGGTAGTCTTTTTTTGACAAATAATGAGCTATTGCTTGTGATTAACCTTTTTTTTTTTCAGAAAGAAATTATGCACAAGCAAGATATCACTACATTCACTCAACTGATGGGGAAGGATGTGCTCAGATGTTATTAGAGTTCCACACTTCTCATGGCTATCCTTCAGAGGTGGACATGTTCATCACACAGGCTGTGTTACAGTAAGTTACTAGTGCTGGTTTGCATGTTGTTATGTGTTCCTTGTGAGGACTTCAGATAAAGGGAGTTTATTTTTTTTTAATTTCCCCCAAATATGTGGGAAAAGGTTTTTATTACAGTCTTTATTTATTTTTTGTTTGTTCTGTTTTTTCTTGAAGATTATGATATTTTTCAAGTTTCTTTCTGTATGCTATAGCAGCAGAATACCATTTGCATTGTTTTATTAACTCACTCACCGCCAGGCACTCTATTGCTCAACATCTGGAGAATGCCAGGTGTTCTGACAGCTGTTTCAAAGAATCATTGTGACCTTATTATTCACCACCCAACAGTTTAATTTAGGATGCAAAAAAGGCAATAGAACATACCACTCAATGCATAAGAAAAGATATCTTGAATAGTTCTTTTTAAATTATCTTTTGCAAAGGTGGGGAAATTTTTAGGGGGGAAAAAAGCATCTAGGCTGAGATCTAGATCACTAAGTTAGCTGTTACTTATCCCTACAGCCTTCCACCTGTCTCTACTAAACTCTTAAACCTCTACATAACTTGGATCAGCATCGCTGTCATCTTCTTCAGCACTAGAAAAGTCTAGATCTGGCCTGACCTATTGACATAATATGGGTCCATCAGTTTAAAAATGTTGCATGGTACGTTTGCTTTTGTGTGAAAGTGTGTTTTAGGTGGTCAGGTAAAAAATACGTTAGCATTTCTGCTGCTTTCTTAATTGCAGCACTTTATATTGGCGCCGACCCCCCCACCCCGAATCTTTTTTTCCTCTCAAGGAGTTATTGAAGGCTTTTTTATGGCAGAAAAGTGAGACTACCAAAACATGTTCTTATTATTATGCTGTGTACAATTTTGTGTTTCAGATACCTGTGCCTTCAGAATAAAACCACTGCCAATATTTGTTTTGAGATGTATACCCAAAAGCATCCCAAAATTGATAATGGGCCTCCGTATAGGTTGCCATTGCTAAATTTCATCTGGATGCTCCTTGTTGCTTTAGAAGGGTAAGTAACCTTTGTGGAATGAGCTGTTGTGGGTGTTCCTCATTGTTTGGAGGGGGATAAAATAGCTTGTAAGTAATTTGAGGCTACCTGCTTTGCTTTGCAGTAGTAGCTATGACTGATTTTAAGGTGTCTGGTACTGGGAGGGTTTCAGTAAGTCTAACTAAAATTGTAAAAGTAAAGTTAGAATAGGCTTGTCACACACATTTCTGAGCTTGGGAATATTGCAGAGATCTAAGAAGAGAAATGTAACCTTTGGTCTGACTTTGTTTGCCCTTGAAAAATTAAGTTTTGATCATGAAAGTTTGAAAACTATTGCCTTTGTGACAGAGATGCATAAAAAAGGCATTGTTTTGATATTGTGAATTGATAATAGCCAAAGAGACCCATTGTAGAAGGGAAAGGCATAATCAGTTCCCCTGTTTGTCATATATGCATGTGATATATGTTCACATGGTGTTTAACAAAATTTTTGTTGACCATGCTGATGGAGGAGTAGCAGAAACACTCAACTTTATTCTGGTGTCAACAAATGAAAGGGGCTCTCGTGGCCTAGAGGTTAAGGTGTTGGCCTCTCATTCAAAGGTCCCGGGTTCGATTCCGGGTAGCGACCAAAAATTTTCTTCTCTAAAATTGTCTCCTTTCACATCCTTTCCTGATCTCTAACAATGTTCTGTTGTCTGCTTTCATTTCCACTTTCTGCCCCCACCCCCTCACCTCCTTTGCCCCCTCCTCTGGGCTCCTGACTCTTTCTGCAGCCTTTCTACTGCTACTTCTTGGCTCCTCCTAACTGCTGTCTTTCTGCCACACCCCTGATCTTCTGGTAGGAAAGATCTACACCTAGCCTTCTCGGACAAGGGCGAAAAATCTCGGAGGGCCCGTGTGCAAGTTGCGCACGTTAAAGATCCCTTGGTGGTCTAAAATCGATAAGAGTAGGCTTCGGCCGCCACCCGGGCAAAATTCAAAACTTCCTACCACCGAAAAAGTATTAGGTGTGTCCCGCGCGCTCATATGACCTTATGCAGTTGCGAGCGCCGTAAAACCCTATACTAAACAAACAAACAAACAAACAAATGAAAAATGAATAATATGCTTCTAACTTGGTTCCAAAAATAAAGTCAGCAGTCTCTTCAATAGACCTGCATGTTTGCCGACAATCGTCTGAAATCCGACAATCACGACCAGACCCGCGAGCCGGCTGATGCTATTGCTAGGCCCACCTGTATCAGTCAATGTGCGTAGTGCGAGGCCTGGCCGACTGCCAGCGCCCCCTTTTTCTCCCGTCGGCTTTGTTGGCACTTTCGTTTTCGTGCCGACGTCGGCGTTTCCGACATAATTGTCGGAACCTGAGTAGAAATGCGAATATGCAAAAGGACGACGACCTAAATTATCTACTTTCAGTTTCGTGCTCGAGCGGACATTTTGAATTTCGTTTGTTGACTAATTCAATTGTTCAGATGGTGTGGATTCATTCAAGTGTGACTCACTTGTTCTAATAGAATCTAGATCTAGATTTATATAGATCATTATAGACCTCAATGGAGGATTCATATTCCAATTCTATTTTGTCAAACCCTATCATAGGTTGTACTGTAATATTAATGTTGGTAAAAAGCATTTCATCAGGTGCGTGAATTATTTATTTATTTAGAATCTAAAACTCAGCTGAGTCCCTCTGTTCAGAATCGGATATGGATTTCTAATCTAGTTCAAGGCCTATTCCTATTCACTTGTACTAGATCTAGATCTAGATCTATATGGAGGATCCATATTCCAATTCTATTGTGTTATTGTATCAAACCCTATTATAGCAATGTAGATCATGTAGGCCATATGCTCCTTGTTTGTTTTGGAGTGGTTTTTTAATTAAAATTTTTTTTTCATTTTGGACTTGTGCTGGCCTTTTTACATGAGGTCCGTTGCAGGTTCTTTTTTGGGGTAGGGGTAGGGTTAGGTCTCTTCTTTATTGTGTTTGTTGGTGGTCGCTCGTAACTCGGAAGTTCTCCTATCATCATGGACACCCACAAAAGCTCTTATGGGGGGGGGGGGGGGGGGTTGCGCAAAATTTTCAGACAATCTGGTTGAGGCTCACATGCAGGTCTACTTCAAACTTAGGAAGTCCTTTAGAGCATGGATTTATGGTGATATTCTTAGCAGGAGGCATTATGTATATGATAGTTGACTGTATATGTAGGTCTTGATGCTGTTTGTAGCGGCAGCTACTGCATTTGCCTAAATTGCATTTGGGTGGAATAGAGAGAAATCATGTAAACTGCCCTTCTCAGGGTCAACTCATCAGGACTCATGTATTTCTTGAAATTGGTCCCACAACCTGGAGTAATGCTGTTGATTGCCTGTGCTCCACTGGGAGTTAAAAAGGGCAAGAGAGAGAGAGAGATCCCTCAAACTGCTGGCAGAAAATTCACAGCTTTACTTCCAAATTGATTACAGCTCTACTCGAAAATTCTAAGTAGCAAAATGACTCATCAAGAACTTTGTCCATGAAAGTCAGCTGTTGTAGGAGTAAGGACAAAAATGAAGTCTGTTAAGCTCATGCCTCTTGTTTAACAGCTCTTTCTAATGAAATGACTTGTTTTATTTTAAAGACAGCAAAAGTTTTGAAAACAATTTTAGTTTTTCATGCATGTCCTATTTTGTTTTTTTCTCTACAGTGGAAAGCTTGCAGTGTTTACAGTTTTGTGTGAAAAGTACCAAGTTTCAATAAACAGGGATCCACATTACAAAGAGGTAAAATATTGAGTATTTCAGTTTTTGAACTTTAGAGATTTGGTTTCTTGTGTAGAGGAAGGTCAAGTGGGGTTTGTTCTTCCTACTCCTCTTTTAATGTTGCCTGTTCAGCAGGACATTGGGCCAAGAGGCTAAATGTTAAGTGATTTACTACTGCAACACCATCAAGAATGCCACTTTGTTTTGCTACCTGGCCCTTTCATAGCCTCATCATGTTGAACCCCTTGTGATGCTGAGTACTTACAGTTGGAAGGAAGACCAGCACTGTGGTTGATGTTTCCTTATTGCTTTTCTGGTTGAGACTTTCATCACAAGGTATTGTTTATGTTCTAGCTCTCTTCCTTCTGTGTAAGGTGATGGTAGTGCTTGTGGCCAACTAAGCCAATTGTGCCAGAATGTCAGTTACCATGTGATCAAGGAAAGGATTGTTGCTCTGCACTTTGCTGAGTTGTCTTGTGTCTCCTCTTGCTACTAAGTCTTTAGAACGTTCAACCAGATGTGCACTGGCACAATCAGTGGAAGGACCCTCGGCAGCATTTTGGAGAGAGCAACGGAGCATCAATGGACATGTCTGGAGTGCAGGGATGTTGCTTCCTGATACAATGAACAATGAATACTAAGTCTTTCTCTTTTATCCTGAAATTGGTCTTCATTTTCTTCTTCGGCTGGTTTGGTTTTTCTACAATTACTTCCCAGGTTGTAAAGCTAATCTAAGTTAAGAAATATGTTCTTCTTTCAAATGAATACCTTTGTATTTTTTTAGAGGTCATTCTTCCATGCAGTGAAGGTGTCCTAGCCATCTGAGCAAGCATTACATTACCTTATTAAGCACCATAGAAAAGCAGTTTACTTAATACAGTATAACACAAATAGGTCGAACACAGAAAACTTGAAATCATGCTTCTGTCGAACTGTGCCTGTGGTCCCGTTTTTTTTTCCCTTGTTTATCTTTGTAAGGAAATCACGCAAAGCTCTAACACAAACACAGAATAGTCAAGCCAATTACGCTGGCGTAGCTGTCTAAAGTCTATGTCCTTTGAGGTGCACTTGAGACAAAATAATAATAATCATAATAATAATAACAATAAAAAATAACGGAAAAAAGACAAGGTCGGTAAAATACCACCTTAAACACACACACACACACACACACACACACACACACACACACACACACACACACACACACACCCTCTAGAGAAGCGGCTTGCTGTGGTTTTTTTAGCGTGCTGCTCGACATGTTCTGCGCATACCTCGGCCCTAGGTTTATGCTAGATCTAGGCTTGTGTGGAGTGGGCGAGAGGAAGGTTTGTGCATCACACGATCTATTGTTTTGCCCCATAGGTAGCAATCTTTGTTGCTTTCCTTGATTCTGTGACACAGCCGATGCTTTAACATTATTCACATATCCCTTGAACTACGGATCCCTCTAACTACCGAGGCTGGTCATATCAAATTCGAGCAATCCGTGTTATACTGTATCACCAAACTCTACTCACATTCAATTTAGGCGTTTGTATATATGCTATTTTAGTCTACATTTGATTTTCTGTGATAATGTTACTTTGGGTAGAAGAATAAAATGATGATCACTACATTGATACAGTAAATGAGTCTAACTTTACTTGTTTTTCTTCATTTCTTTTGTTCTTTTCTCTTTTGCTAGAAGTTAAACGACCCCTTTCAGTCAAACTCCAATATTAATTCCTTTTCCAAGTGAGATATGTTTTGAAGCGATACAAAAAATGCTAGGATGTAGCTTAAAACTTTTTTCGCAGATTTGTGAATGTGGTGTCATATGGTGACAGATGCTACAGCCATATTTTCGTTACCGTTTTTTTCAGTACTTAGATCAAATTGGACAGTTATTTTTTGGAGTGCCACCCCCACAACGAACTCCTCAGGGTTTATTTGGTAAGTGTGCAGTGCAATATTGTGAATTTTTTTTCTGTGCCTTACATTAGGCCTCAGTGCAGAACTGGGGCTGAGTAGTTACTGAGGTCAGTTTACAAATATTCTCAAATTATGTCTTTGACCCTTCCGTTATGTTGATTGTCACGGAGATCTGTCTAGGAACTAGATATATAAGCCCTTGCTCAAAAACAGAACACTGCCTGGCCCCAACCAGCTTCCGTGGAAACCATATATAACAGGCCCGGTTTTTTCCTTCTCTTTGTCTCTATTAAAAGTTGTCGGCAATAACTGAATCTCATCAGAGCCCAATCGTTTATAGCAGGACAAAGGCTCGTTAACAATGTGTAAAAAGTGAGAGAGAGGGAGAGTAATGCAGTGATGGAGCAAGCCCACACAAGCCACGCCAATGCAAGCACACGCAGCAGATGAAGCGAGAGAGGGCTGCTGCGTGCAGCAGACTTTGATCTGGCCCTAAACCTAGCTACAAGCACGTGAATGTATCATGCGCAGGGTACTTGTGGCAAGGGAAACTACCCATGAATAAATACAGCTGGATTAGTCCACATGCTTACTTCCCTTGCATTTAACAGGGGTCTGATATAACAGGACTTTTTCTATGGTCCCACCATCCCTGTTATATCAGGTTTCCACTGTAAGCAGCTTTCATTCACTGCTCTATCAACTTATATTGTGGGGGGGGGGTTTTCATAGTTATGCCTGTCATTATGAAACTATTCTCCTTGCGAGGATCAAGGAAGTTGACTATTATTATGACAAATTTGTGCAGTTTGATTCTGGCAGCCACTTCCATTGTCATTCTTGATTATAAATTCAGCCAAAGTATGAATTATTAAGTCTGACTTTTTGGCTTCAAAAGGCATTTAATCCATTTCCTGTAAATAATTGAGAACACTGGAGGTGACTGATTCTGTTTGCAAGTTAGACTATATATACAGGGTCCCCACCGGGTCGGGAAAAAGTCGGGAATTTCGTGATGGGTCGCGAAAAAGTCGGGAATTTTGAGATGGGTCGGGAAAAGGATAGGGCCTGTGTAATAGTAGTGTAGCTGTCTAGACAGTATGGTTGATGAATCGTGAAGAGGAAACGTAATTGAACTGCTGTGGTGACAGGCGGAAGAGTATGTGTGACACCGAGGCTCGATCAGGAAGAATCAATATCTACTTTCGCTTTCGTTACCACCCAGAAATTTTCTAGTAATAGTCTAGATAACGCAATATTTGTAACATGCAGGTTGTGCATTACAAAAGCTGTGGCGCCATGAAAATAGATCAATATTAAAAGTTTGTCCTTTTCTGTCACGTGTGGGAAAAATAAGAAAAGAAAGTTATACAAGCGTCTTGTCAGGTTCGCCATCATGACCAGTCAGTGACCCTGTGGGCTCCCATCAAATGATAAGGCATTGTGTGAGTCCCTGCAGTCTGAGCGCTGTGAAATATAGGACTCTGGAGGGGGGGGGGGTTATTGATTTTTTTTAAAAAGATACACTCGGGGAAGGGGTTGGGTGGGGGGGCTGAAGGCAACGCTAGAGGACGAAAACTGAACTGGGAAGCAAATTTTTTAGTATATTTAGAATTTTGATAACTAGCTGAGCTCTCTGCAAAGCGCGCGTTGGTGCAGGCCTTGTGTGGAATCGGGATCCGTCCTGCCTTGTTATTGAACTAAAGTGTTCGCGTTCCATTGGATGGGGTGATAGTAATTAACATCTATATTTTAGCTTTTTGTTCAAGATTGGCAGATTTTCAGTGTCACTGCATCTTGCCCTCCCTCAGTTCTTACACCTCTCACACTGAATCTGAATAGGTCTACTTGAGCCATTCAAGTTATTACTAACATTACTCTACTTTGAGTTTAAGCGATAGTTCGTCTTCATGTTTATGATGATTAATGAATCGTGACACCCAGACTGGTTATTGACAGTCGATATTCTGGTTCTAGGTCTTTTCTCAGGCTCAAAACGGGATTCATTTTTTATATAGTTTATGTAGGCTAATATGAATCATGATGAGGGGATAATATAAATAAGTAAGAACAGACTGAAATACCAAAGTCATACAAGATCCCAGTGCCACACTGACATGTTGTTGACTTGATATAATAATGTACCTACATGTGTGTGTGTGTATGTTCACAAACATAACATACATATTATATTAGATATAAATGGAGCACACTCTTTCATTGTTATGTAACATGCCCCTGAAAATGGATTAGTCCCCCCCCCCCCCCCCCCCCCCCCCCCCGGAAAATTGAGAAGCTAGGTTGACAGTCACCCTGTATTATAATCATCTATTGTTTGAAGACTATACTACAAAATGTATGTTTGCATTCATTTAAAGACATTTTGACTTTTATCAGTGATAGATGGGGTTTTTTGGGGATCATTCTTGATGCGTAGCGGTCTTATTTTTCCCTCGAATTGGGGTCTTGAAAAAAATTTCCAGGATTTAGTGGGGACCCTGTATATATAGATAGATAGATAGATATATATAGATAATATGTATATATAGATAGATATATATAGATAATATGTATATATATATATATATATATATATATATATATATATATATATATAGCTGCCTTTGGTTCTGAAACCAGACTTGATTGGATTAATGGATGACCTGATTGGAATTTTTGTGAAATGAGCAATATTTCAGAGGTTTTGAAGTTTGTCTTAACCCTGTTGGTACGCCTTGGGATCATTTTGTACCCTCGGGGTTGTATTCTTCACATTTTAGAATACTTCTAGTACGAAGATCTCTTTGAAACTTTCAGTATTTCTTAAAAAGTCATTTTGACGGACTGCAATGCAAAATGTACGGATCGGATTAACAAGTAAATTTCCTCTTTAAAAGTGGTGGCACAGAGTTCCCCACGTCGAATGGATACAATAGTAAAACACGGCGTACGGATAGGGTTAAGTGAAACATCTAAAAACTATACTGATTCTGTTTGTTCGTTTGCATGTCAGTTGCTACATGTTTCATTAACTCACTGGAGACGTTTTTCACGCTGCAGTTTCGAGCACCAATATTTCCCCGAAAGGAGGTTCACGCACCCCCTGCGAGCACAAGTTTCGCGTTTTTTCCTTGGCAAAGTATGCGCGCTAACGCTGCGTGAACCGTCTCTTACCATGCAGCCAACCTTTGTTTCATTTTTTCATTTCGTGCGAAGTTTCACCGAAATTGGCTGGAAACTTTTAGAGTTATCGACCCGGAAGGAAAATTAGTCACACTGAGGCCCTACTTTTGTTTCTATAACATGTCTGTTCTCGCAACACTTTGTCAGTACTATGGCAGCATGTTTAGGTCTAGTAAAAGTTTTACGGCCCTTGCAACACAATAAGGTCATATAAGTGCTGAAGATTAGGTGTTACAAGAGAGTAACAAACACAAAAAAAGAAGGAGGAGAGATCAGGACGAGAGTTGTTTGATAGGAAAGAAGGAGCAAACCACACCAGAGCGCCCGTCAACCACCCTCTTGGCAGCACGAAAAAGCAAACATTTTTCAATTGTTTGACAACTTTGACATTGCAGAAAATTCTGATTATGATATTTTAACCATAGGTATCCTGATTTCAATGTAAATGAGCATCAAAGCACTGATTCTGATAGAGGGTGTTCTTGATCTAGACTAGGGTTTCAGATGCAAAGTTCCGCTTTTTTCTGGAGAACTGTTGTTTTTTTTTCACACAGAAGTGGATTAGATAGCTAATACACATAAGGATTACCAAATTGATTACCTGCCTATTTATGAGTTTGGACTTTTTATTCATTTTGAGACACAAAACACAATAAAAGATACACACAAGGTTAAAATATAAGCCTCCTACCAAATACCACTCTTCACAAATTACGTTTTCAAAATCATGCTGCTAGGCTTGTACTTAAGAAAAAGAAGTGGGATCACATTACTCCCATGTTAAGAAAATTACATTGGCTTCCCGTGTCAGCTAAAATGTCATATAAAATTGCAATATTATGTCATAAATGTGTCAGTTACAAAGCTTCCTCCTATCTTAGTGATCTCATCCAGATTTATGTTCCATCTAGATCACTAAGATCAGGCGATCAGTATCTTTTAAGAGTACCTAGAAAAGGGGGTAAAAAATTAGATGAAAGATCGTTTGCCCACCTTGCTCCATCTGTTTGGAACTCTCTTCCCCAACCCTTGAGACATACAACATCTGAGTCTTATTTTTTAAAATCTTTAAAGGCACATTTAATGACATCATTTTTATGTCAGTAGATTCATGTTCATTACAATGTTATGTAAATGACTATGTATCCATTTAAGTATTTTGCAAATTGCATTGTGTATATTATTCTATTATGTATGTGTATGTGCTCATTTCGTAACAGTGTGTAAGCATGCGCGTGTGATAAGCAAGTAGATGTGTGTGTGTGTTTGGCGTGCATGTGTGTGCACATGTGTGCGGGTAATGTGTGCGTGAGTGTGTGTGTGTGTGTGTGTCGTGTGCGTGAATATTGTTCGTACATGCATTTATGTAAAGCGCCTAGAGCTGTGTTTACACGGGAGTGGGCGCTATAGAAATGATCTTCATTGTTATTAATAATAATTTTGGGGGGGGTTTTTTACACAAGACATTACGTTAAAAAATGTTGGCGAGCAAAAATTTTAGCACGTTTTCAAAAAATTTCTAAAAATATATAAAAGATATTTCCTTTCTGTTTTTTTGTATCATAATAGGCATGTTTAGATCTGTTATGTGTGTAAAAATGGTGGTTGTATATCTTTGGGAAGTGTGTTTTTTGAAATGTTGAAATACCCCCAAAAATGCCAGTCTTCAGCGCATGTAGACCCGAAAAAGGCCCAGTCCCCAGTGAGTTAAAGCCCATGCTGTCGTGCTGATTTAATGAGAAGTAGATGGACATTTGTGTCACGACGTGGTGGAATCAGGCACTCGTCAATTTTTGAGTATATGGTGTTATTGGTGCCATCTTAATTAAAGGTTGGTAATTTGCCTTGCTTTCAATGAAAAAATATCCTTTTATCTTGAATAGAAGTCGAGATATTTGCAATTGAAGGAGGTGGGGGTCGCCTGGTTTCAGAAGTAAAATTAGCTAGAAAATGGCTGCCAAAATTTGGTGACTTCTATAGCTCAAGAGTCCTTGGAAACTCCAAGCTTACATTTTTGTGCCTTTAATTAATATTTTTACATAAAGTCCACGCCTAAAAGTCTTTTTGAATGGACATACAAAGTGTTGAGCTAAAAAACAAAAATTCGGGAAAAAAAATCCAAACTGGCCAAAAAATGCCAATTTCTTTAATTCTATTATTTTGACAAGCACCTGATCTCACCACGATTTGTTAAACCCACCATCCGTCTTTTATGTGTTTGAGGACTGAAATTTCATTCTGTAAAAGATTGTCTTTTGTGTGGCCATCTTTTATTTCTCTTTGAAAGCAGTTAGTTTGTACTTAACCCTTCTTTCGTGCTGTGAGCAGGCACCATGATTGTATTGTTACTTACAAAATTTATTGTATTTTCCTCTTCCCCTGCACAGGTAACTTCTTGCAGAACATGCTCGGAGCTGCTGGCAGTGATGATGAGGAGGACGAGGAAAACCTAGTTGCCGGCAAAGGTGCTTCCTCCAGTGGCTCCACCAACAGTCGCATGGCCAGCGGTTCCTCCTCCCTGCTCAGGGACAGCAGTTCCCCTCTCATGGCCACGAGTGCCAGTCCGAGTAAAACAGAAAAGACGTTTGATTTGGATTGACCAAGCCAGGTCCCCCCATGCCTCACCCCCCTTCCCTGCCCTCCCCTCCCCTCCGTAAGGTCTTTCTTTGAGCAGACTGTTCGTTTGTCTTATGTATGGCTGGACAATATTGTGGAAAGATAGTGTAAAATGGTCATAAATGAATTGTGGAGTTTGGATGGATTTTAAGTGTAGGTGGAGTGATGGTGTAAATTTTTCAAGAATGTGTCGGGTGTTTGAATGGTGTTAAAAGATTAAAATTATTGAGTCTTTGAATTTCACCTCAAAACTGCAAGTGGAGAATTGTTCTAAGCCTCAGCATTTATTTCAAACACAAAATAATGTCCTTGTTTTGCAGTTTTGTTTGAAGAAAAAGGGCTATTAGCTCTGTTGAAATTATGTTATGTAAATGGAGATGACAAGCAGTGAGGTAATGAAGCTCCTCTATATGAATTGTTGGCTGGTTTTATGTGATGATAGGCATGAGGATTAAAAGAAAGGGTTGCTAGAAATGCTTGGATATGCCTGTCGGTCAAATACATGATGATTATACAATATGTTGCTTGCTTTTATTTTATTTGGACAAAACACTTTCTTTTCATCTCATGAATTTATGAAGTATATGTACAAATCTTCCTAATTCACTTCTGAACATTCGTGAGGTTAGTAGAAAGTTTGTTTTCTCCTCTTTTTTGCATGTTGTGCCTTTGTCACTTCTTTTTTTAACCTGTTCATTCTATCAATTAAAAGCTAACACTTGCTGCATTGTGGTGAAATCAGACGCTTGTCAAAATAATGATATCGAAGAAACTGATGTTTTTTCGTCTGTTAGGCAATATTTATCAAATGAGACCTCGACTCTGTTTATGGGCATTAAAAACACATTTATAAAAATTGCAGATTTCAATGACACTCAAGCTTTGAAAGTCACCAAGCTTTGAAAGTCACCAAACTTTGGTGGCCATTTTGTTACTAATTTTGCTTTACTTGCCTCTGACACCAGGCGACCCCATCCTTCTTCAATAGCAGATATCACCACTTCTATTCAAGACAGATGGCTATTTTTCCACTAAAAGTAAGGCAAATGAACAATCTTTAAGATTGTACTAACTCTGTAAAAATTGATAAGCATTTGATTCCTTTGTGTTGTAACACATCTGTATTTGTGTTATTGAGTTTGGGGCAAAGGCTTATGTGGATTGTCTTTCTGATCTG